ACTGAAAAAGGTCCCTTATAACTATGTATTTCATGCAACCAAATTCCATTATTTTTCCCAGGTTACCTTTTTTGGGTGTTCTTCTCTGTGATAAGTGCTCTGAGAGAACTTGCTATAGAGTTTTGGAAGAATTCAGTTTCATGCGAAACATTCGGTCAGGACGCTACGTAACACATCGATAAATTCAACTTTTTATTCCTTTCTTACCTGGCTGTTAACATCAGCAGCGTGCTGTAACAGTACTGAAACCAACTCCTTGTGTCCTCTGTCACACGCCCAGTGGAGCAGAGCCCGGCCCTGCAACATCCAGGAGAAAATTAACAAAGCCAGCAAAAAAAAGAAGTGCAGAGAATCACAGTCTTGCTGTGAAGTATTGAGTACCAATAACAAAATTAACACAGACTTTTTAAAAAAACTACACTAATATGAGTATGTAACATACTATTGCTCCTGATTTGGACTTACGGAATAATGCTAGAAATGTTAAAAGTGACGCATAGTTCAATTTTTCATTAACTTAGCATCAACCCCACAAGCCAGCAAAAATGTAGAGGGGCAAAGCAGCAAAGCATGAAAAGCAGGAGCCATGACATGATTTGTTTTCCTATATAGATTTGGGATTTTGACACCTCTGACTTTTTTGGGAGCAACGACTTACACAGTAAGGATAAGATTTTCCATGCTGCCTAAGTCACTCGGACACCAAGTCCCCAAAAGCTCATTCCTCTGGCAGGTCCGAAACACTCAACTTACAGGCCCTGCCTCTGCTGCAACAGGAGATTAAAACTGGGTGTCTGGGCAGGCATCACCCACGACCGTCCCCCTCTCAGCTCTGCAACATGGTCTGCTGCTTCCATGCCTCCAGCCCCTCCCAAACCTCCACAGTTTTCTTCCCATCCCCTTTCTACAGGTCTCTGCACACCTGAAGTCTCTCTGCATGTCTCTGCCACGACAGGAGGGGATGCAATAGAAGTTCAGATCTTCCTGCCTGTCAAGGACATGGGAAGTAGCTTAGGACCCCTCTGAGGGCTGACACGTACGTCTGAAAACCCAGCTGGCCTTGGAAAGGGCTATGGAAGCAGTGAAGCGAAGCCAAGCTTTCAGGGTTGGGTTCATGGGTGCTGCCCTGATTCTGGGCTAGAACAGCCAAGCCTGTGAAAGGTAATACTTGTTCTTGCAACAGGACATCACAGCAGAGCTGTGATACAGTTTCACCACTTTAACAGCCCTGCGCTGGGGCTGGAGTGCTTATCTTCTTATAATGCAAAAATGCATTCAAAGCAGTAACAGAGCCTTCTGACAAGCAGCTCTAAGACATTTTCTATGAACTATGGAAGATTTTTTATATCAGCAACCCCAAAGAGAAAGGTAGCTCAAAGTAGTTTGAGATTGAAGGTTTTCTTCTTTGTTTACTATATACACTTAGTAAATTAGACTTACTGATAGTATCAGTCTCTCCTGATTTAGGACAGCATGTGGCACGCTTGCAGGGGATTCCTTGGAAATCACCCCGCAGATAACCAAGAAATCATCCCCCAAGCTGTGACACCGTCAGACTGACCTGCTACACAAAACAGTCACAGACCTTCACAGATGAAATCAGTTAAATTAGCCCATGCCTGGTTATAAATCTCTTGACAGAGCAGTGAGGAACAAGGTGAGCAACTAATTTATCTGCTAATGGGAACTGTGAGCCAAATTTCCTGACCACGGTGCCAAAACAGCAGGAGGGGCAGAAGACACCTGCAACCGAAGCTCACAGCTCACACTGCTTCTGCTGGATGTTCTTGGGCAGGGCAGCAGAGGTAAAACATGATTTTGAGTAAGGAAATGCGATCTCAGACACAAGGCATTAAGCTTTTTAACACACTTTTTGACCCAGCAAGTAATTAATTTTTGTAACACATAATTTTAATGTTACACTAATTAACCTTGAATTAGAATGAATTTTCTGACAATGACTTTCTATGGAAGTACTGATGACATCCATGGGCCATTTAATGATCAATGTTCTTGTACTCAACACCACTATCAAACTCTAAAAGCGAGGAAGAGTACAATTTAAAACAATTGGTAAACATGGAAGGATCTTTAATTCATGTTTAGCACTCAACTCATCTCTGGACTGGTAATTACTTAAGACTTAGGATTTCAGTTGGACAAATACCAACCTTTTTTGTGCCACAGATGTTTATTTCAAAAGAAAGAAGCACTATCTGCGATATGCACAATAGCAATAAATACTTCAACAGATTATTTCAGTTTTTTTATATATGTGTAGAGGAATAATATTGTAATTACACAAGTGTAATTATTGTACAATTACATGACAAAATAAAGGCATTTCTATCCTTTATATCAAAATTCACATTACAGATCAGTAACATATATGTTGGTTTGCATTTGTCTCTGGATAAGCAGAATCTCATTTTATTGGTGCTGAACTTGGCTGAGACCAATAAAGGAAAACCAACAGTTTGGGAGAGATAGTGCTGCCAATTCTGTCAGCTCAGGGGTACTGCAGCACTGTGCAGCTGGTCCCTCCCCATGACACTGGAAGGCTAGTTCTACTGCAAATGTTGCCTTTTGAACAAGACAAGAAACTGAAGCCTGATCATCTACAGTCATTAAAAATCTCCTTGTGCTATTTGCAGGAGTATGGATTTCAAGTCTTGGGCCAATTCCACTTTGGGTAATTACACTCTGCTTACCTATATTTTTTCTCTGTAATTCTAAATGGATACAATATTTTCCAATTAGTGCCTTAAATGGCTCTGCATCATAATTGCGCACTATTAAAAAGCTGACACGTTCCACCCAAGAAATGTCTGCATCCTTGCAGCATGCTACGCTGTAAACTCAGGGTGTAAGAGACTTTGGAGACCTTCTGTGCAAGAGTACACCGTTTGATGTGGAAGTAAGAATACCTGCAGAAGAATCTCAACCTACTTACTGTATAACAAAAAGCATCACTAAGAAACTTGTATTTAAAACAAGATAATATTCACTACTGTTTGCGTACTATCAGGCAAATTAAAATCAGGAGTTCTAGCCAATGTACTTAGACAGCTATACAGCTACAAAGTCCACTTGTTTCCCATATCTTCCTTAAAACAAACCTTAGTGATAAAACAAACTGAATGTACAATCCGACTCTTTGTATAGCATGGATATCACCTATGCATGTTGAAAAATTCTTTAGTCCACACAGCTTGCTGCTTTATATCAGCATATAACATGTATTTGTGTGTTTAAATAACATGGCAGAAATCTTAAGAGCCACAGATTGAGCTTTCCCAAAACACTTCCCATACGACTATTTCATCAAGCAGTGAGAGACTCAAAGCAACACGAATAATTTCATATAGGAAAGCACTGCAGTAGCGAGGTCTTGACTAAATGCAATCAAACATCAAGGTACTCCCTTCCATGCAATTCAAACACCCAACAGTTGTTGCAGAAGTTACTTGAGAGGATGCATTTTCCCCTGCCTTTGAAGTATTTAATAAAAAAAAGCATAAAAATAGCCCCAGTGCACTAACCCTGCCTCTTAAATCTTCTGTGCTTTGCTTGGATAACCGCTGCCAGCTTGGCCAGCTTCTGCAGCAGTTTCTCAAGCCAACAGCACATCAATTTTGCTCAGCTCCAAGTCACACGGTGTTCACAAACAAAGCACAGGACAGGGATTTGTCTCAGATATACCGAGTCTCAGCAGACAAACGGATGGGAATGATTTTCACATCAATTAGCCAGTGCAGAGAAAGAGGAGAACAAAGCCAAACTGAATGGATGTGCTACAATATTAAGCTATACTTCTAGGCATGATGTTTGCAGCTGTAATGGCTGTATAGCAATGAGGGCCACTCTAACTCGTGGCAAGTATTTTATTACCAGTAATTAAGAGGAGATATATATAGAACAGCCGCATCCCCCCATGATAGCAAAAACAGTGAATGGAAGGGCCATTGTTGCAATTATACGGGTAAACTTCAGATTTGATTTAGAAGTCAATCACTTTCAGAGCTTTGAAACATTTGGGGAAGTTTTTCTAATGGGAGTAAGCCTGTAAATCCAGAAGTATGTGATCCTTCTTCAAACCCATTTTATTTCCCTGTCCTTTCCTTGGCAAGCTGGCACCAATTTGGCACTTGCTGTCTCAAAAGCATGAGGATTAGGGACTACGCGAGCATTATTTCAGATGCCTTTCATTAAAGTTTTGGCAAGGGCTTAAATACTGCACACAGGTAACATGTTTGCTTACTGGGATTTCTCCAACAATTAAAAAATTCTCTATCTACAACCTCCACAGCCCTTGGCACAAATTACAAAAGCAACTCATCTATGCCTTTGAGCAGTTTCTGGTTTGTTAAAAGTTGAAGAAATATTGTTCTCAAAAAGGCAGCAAGCAATCCGCACTACCAGGATGTGCCTGTGGCGACTTCACAGCCATAGTCCATTTCTTATTTCATTAGTCCTGCTGACATATGTAAGAGAAACGGGTTGTTACAGTCTGTGCTACTTCTTCTAAGTGAATGCAAGCTATTCTGTTGAACTCTGGGCAATTTAGATACAGTAAATGGAAGCTTATACATGATTACTGTCATTAGATTCTTTGTTTAATTCTAAATTGAAGTTTATTATATCCAAACTGTTAGCAGGTATGCTAACATGCTGTACATGAAGATCTTTATTTCTTGTAGGAAGACGACCACTTATGCTTCAAAAGTTGCCAAGTGCATCTATCTAAACCCCAGGGACTTCTATTGCCCTTTCTGAAATCCTTTTGCTTCAAGTAAGTTGGCTTGTCCCCATTTTACATTTTTATTCTTGATTTCTTTTCTCCTTTCGGTAACTTATTTCAGGCTTGCACAAAATGGGGGGAATACAATTAGATACAGTATTAACGCATCACATAGAAATAAAATCTAAACACCTTACAACCTCAGTCAAGTCTTTATTGTACAAGGAAAGGCTGAGCCTAGCGTCTTTGCAGTTTAGCACGAGCTATTTGGTGCTTCAGTAGATTTTGTTTCATAACAAGTTAACTCTTTGTATGTATCCCTGCTGCCATTTTAAATTTATATGCATTTAAATCAAAGGATTGACAGTGTGAGTTATGTTCAGAGGGCTAGGAGAGGCATCTTTTGGATATGGCAGGATGTATTTCTACAGTAACACTAAAATAGTTAATAAAAGTGATAAGTTTATGCTTGCATACACTTCACTCTACCAAAGGCTCAGTCTAGGTTATCTCCAGTCTAAAATGGGTTCTAAAACTTCAATCAACCTGCACGATATTGGAAAATAAGCTACCCTCCAGATTGTGAAGACCACGGTTGGATATTGAACAACACTGGTAATGGTTTCAGCTCCTTAACATAACATGAAATAAATATTTCTTTGATTTTTTTTTGGTATACTAACTTTTTTTTTTTGTTTTTTTGTTTGTTTGTTTTTTACACCAGTTAGAGTCAAGCCTAAGGAAGCCAGCACTTGCCAAAAAAAAAAAAAAAAAAGGTTCTTACTTCCCTGTTTGAGCATTTGCTGGGGTAAGCCAAAATCACTGAGGCTGTGAGAATTTCATCTATGGGGGAATTTTGCACCAGTGGGAATCTTCCCATGAGCCCTTCACAGGTAGGCAGGGTTTTCAGCTCCTATCTGTGCTGAAGCAATTCCATACTCTGCAGTAGTCATGTGCTAATACCCACTAGTTCAGAAATAGCTCTTCTCTTACATCAGAGACTCATGGATAATACCCAAAGAGGATGTCACCTGGCAGTTTTCAGATCTGGCTCTAAACATTTATGTTGTTAGAGCACAAAAATATTTCAGCCATCTTTCACCAAATTTTTTTTTTTTTTTTTAATTTCTTTGGCTGAAAACAAGCACATTTATTGCTTGAACAAAGGAAGGTACGAGCTTCTGATCCCTGCTAACTACGAAAGAGCATCTTGCCAGTGGACATGAAGCAATGCTAACAGGATGTTATTATACACTTATTGCAAGCGTGTAATCCCAAAAATGAGCTTTTATTAATGAAAGGACTCCAGCCGTGTTCTGTGGGACTGCCCTGGACATTCACTTCTGTAA